CATAGGAATGGAATCCCTCTTTTATGTGTAAGTTTGAAGAATAACTCATTTATAGAAACTATACATTTTCTACTTTTTAACATAGCATAACATAACATGTCTTTTATTATGATGAATTTTTTAGGGACATGAGCAATAACAGTTTTGATGCTTCAGATATCCCTACATGGTTCTCACTTCCATCATTGACAACAATGTAATCTTCTTCCACTCGTGTTATGCAAAGTCGATAATTTGCATAAAATTTCTCTTTTAATGACATTAAATATGGAGGAATTTATTTTGAAGCATTCTTAATGTGTTCTTCTGACAGATTGATGGACAAGACACAACTTCAAGGGGAAATCCCATCTGATGTCTTCCAACCTCAGTTGCAAAAATTGTGAGTGTTAGCTGAATGCTTTATTCTCAACTTAATCTCTATACTTTATGATAAGCTATTAATATTTGTAGTTTCAGTAGTGAAATGTGGAACTGAGATTATTCTTTTCTTCTCTGTTTTTTGGCTGTTAATGACAGGGGGCTAAGTAACAATGGTCTTAATGGAACCTTGGATGTTGGCAACAGCTATAGAAGTGATTTGATTGTTGATCTAACAAATAATTCCATTGAAGACTTTACTCAGAAATCTGAATATAATATGAACTTAATGTGAGCTCTTATGCCTTTTTGTACTTTCATTTATTTCTTTATTACTTGCTTCCTACTTTCATTTCTTTTTATTTTAAGATTAAATTCTAAAAACTCTACCTGAGTGTTACAATGTCAATAAAGAAACTGCAATCTTTATTGCTATAAAAAGAAAGTGCATTGCTATTCACAATCTTACACAAATAGTTTTCTAATTTTTTTTTGCAGTCTTGCCAATAATCCACTATGTGAAGGTGGAACAACAGGAAGATATTGTTCAGCTAGAAACCCTAATTTACCAAATGGTTTTCCATCCAATAATAATTGTCCACCTGTCCGTTGCCCTTCGGATAAAATTCTAAGTCCAAATTGTGCATGCACACATCCATACACAGGAACCATATATTTTCTGTCTTATTCTTTTTCAAACTTGGATAACTCCACATACTATACGCTTCTTCATGATGCTTTGATATCAGCTTTTAGGTCAAGTCAACTTCCTGTGGAGTCAATTTCTGTTTCAAATGCACGTGTTAATGAGTTTTCATACCTTCAATATACATTGCATGTATTTCCCTCTGGTCAAGATTTTTTTACTCGGTCAACTATCTCCTCTATTGGGACTGTGATCAACAGACAAAACCTCTTTTCTCTCCCACAGTTTGGACCCTTGTTCTTTCTTGATGATAGCTATTGTTGTTTTCCAGGTAATTTTATATAATATATTTTATTTATAATAGGGTGAAATACAGACACCATGTTATTGATTGAGCCACTTAATCATATTCTGAACTAGGGTTAATCTCATAAAAGACCTTATATTTTTGTGTTTTATACGGATTAAACCTCAACTTTATTTTTTTCCTGAAAAGACCTTGCATTTTGTGTATTTTTTTTTTCGAAAAAACCCTCAAGCTTCTAAATAAACCCTCAACTTCTTTATTTTTTCTAGAAAAAAACCCTCACATTTTACAATTTTTTTTGGCAAAAAAGACTAAAAGGGTCGGATCGGAAAAAATGAAAAAGTACAAGGTCAGGCAAAAAATTTGAGGTTTAATCCGGAAAAAACACAAAATATAAGGTTTATGTTTTAGATGAACCCTTTTTTTCCCGGAAAAACCTGTAAAATGTCAGGTTTTTTTTCGGAAAAAACAAAAAAAGTTGAGGGTTTTTTCGGAAACAGATAGAAGGTTGAGGGTTTTTTTCGGAAAACAAAAAGATAAAGTTGAGGGTTATTTTCGGAAAAAATGAAAAAATACAAGGTTTTTTTCAGGGAAAAAAATAAAGTTGAGGTTTAATCCAGGAAAAACAGAAAATATAAGGTCTTTTATTAGATTAACCCTCTGTACTATTTATACCATTATGCTTTTTCTGATCGTTTGAAAAAAGGAATAATAGAGTTAAGCACAACGTACTTTCACCATTTTCTTGATTTAGCTATTGAACTAATTTTTATATGATTGTTATAATAATAATAATTCAGAGGTTAAATCGTTAAAAAAAGTATTTCAGTGGCTAAATTATAAATTGGTAAGTCTTAATATGTTGTGCTCTTCTAGATATCGAAACCGGGTAACCGGAAATACGGTGTTTTTTAAAGGGTTGAATGCAAATAATAGAGATGCATTTTCATATATTTGTGTATTATAGCATCTAATTTTCATTTCTTTCGATTAAAACATTGTATTCTAAATTTCTTTTTGTTATTAAGGTATTGTACTTTGGCAAAAAAATTTCCCCTAATCGTTTATTTCTTATTTGTTTCAAAACTTATTTGTATTTAGATGACACAGCGATAATTAGGTATGTTTTTCAAAGTACAATTCTGTAATAGGAAGAAATGAAAATAGGATGCTATAATAAAAAAAAATCTGAATTTAATATTTTTTAGATGATCCAAAAAATGTATAATGATTTCATTGCCACTGAAGATAGTTAGGTGGCTACAACCATAAGATTGTGAAAGTACAAGTGCTTTTTTGTATTTTTCGCTTTTAAATATATACAAAAGAAACTCATATATTTATGACTAAACCTTGAAAGGTGTACATGGGCAAATAACAGGAAACAAGTCATCGAATCATGGCATCATCATTGGGGCAGCAGTTGGTGGTTGTGTGATCCTATTACTAATAGCCTTGGCTATAACCTATGCCATCTATCAGAAAAGAAACGCAACAAGAGCAAAACACAGCAACCCTTTTGGTAAGCCAGGGTATTCTCGTCTTTTTACAACAACCTCACATGCTTACTTACTTACTTCCATAATTACACAGCATCTTGGGCGTTGGATAATGGAAGTATTGTGGGTGGTGTTCCTCAACTGAAAGGAGCAAGATGGTGTTCATTTGAAGAACTCAAAAGATGCACAAACAATTTTTCAGAAGAAAACTTAATTGGATCTGGTGGATATGGACAGGTATCTTTTTATTATATTTCATTATTTCTTCATTCTTTATTTAATTTATTTTTTAATGCCGACTCACAGGTGTATAAAGGGACTCTTGACACTGGTCATGTAGTAGCAATCAAAAGAGCTCAACAAGGGTCATTACAAGGTGCTCATGAATTCAAAACAGAAATTGAGCTTCTTTCAAGGATTCATCATAAAAATGTTGTAGCCCTAGTGGGATTCTGTTATGAACAAGGCGAACAAATGCTGATCTATGAGTACATTTCAAATGGTACTCTTAAAGATAATCTTACAGGTAAAATTTACATACACATGTTTTTATAGAGAAAACTTGCATAAAAGTCCTTACATATTGGCCCTCAAATTTTGGACCAACTTTGTAATAAAATTTATAAACTGGGCCAAAAGTGTAAATTTCGGACCAAATTTGTAAAAAAATTTCAAATCTGGGCCAAAAGTGTAATTTTTGAAAGTGGGATGACCTGTTAACCGGGTAAATAGGTCAAAATTAATACAATTACCGGTTTTTGGGACTTAATTGAATAAAAAAAATATATAAGGACTTAATCGATTATGAGACCAATATGTATGCAGTTTGGCTAAACTTGTAAAATTTTTGAAATTTTGAATAAAGGAAAAGCGGGAATGAGGTTGGATTGGGTGAAGAGGCTTAGAGCAGCTCTTGATTCTGCAAAAGGGCTGACATACATGCATGAGCTTGCTAATCCTCCAATCATTCACAGAGACATCAAATCAACTAACATTCTTCTTGATGATAATTTAATTGCTAAAGTTGCTGATTTTGGATTATCAAAACTGTTGGGAGATGATTCAAAGGGTTATGTATCTACTCAAGTCAAGGGGACATTGGTATGTGTTGAGAGATGATTCAAAGGGTCTCTTTTTGTTTTTGTTTTTGTTTTTGTTTTTGTTGTGTGTCTAAAATATACCAATTGTCAAGTTGTACCCTTGAAGTTAACAGTATTTGCATTTTGATCCTTTCTGAATGTAGGGTTACATGGATCCCGAATACTACATGACCCAACAGTTGACCGAAAAGAGTGATGTTTACAGTTTTGGAGTTGTACTTTTGGAGCTTTTAACCGCAAGATCACCAATACATAAGGGTAAATTCATCGTGAAGGAGGTAAATGAAGCAATTGGAAAGTCGGGGGACCAAAACGGTCTATACAAGATTCTTGATCCTTCTCTTGGTTCTTCACAAAACCTTGGAGGTTTGACTGAATTTCTAAACCTGGCAATGAGTTGTGTCCGAGATTCAGGAGTTGAAAGGCCTAAAATGGCAGAGGTGGTGAGAGAGATTGAAAGAATTATAGATTTGGCTGTTTTAAGCCTTGATGCTGAGTCAGCTTGTAATTTTTCTAGTCAAAATAAAGGAGAAGTTGGGGATCTTTATCATCCGTTTGGTGATTCAGTCTCTGATGTGAGTAGTTTGACTCTACCTTTTGAAACAGAACTGCGTAGGTGAATTGTGGGAAGAGGATAAAACAAGAATATTTGTTGGTATATATGGAAACATATGGAAGAACACTTATTGATATGTAGATTTAGAATGATTCAAATTGTATGATGTTTATGATATGCTGTTTTTACTATACTCTGTTGAAACAAAATAAGTATAAAAGATACCCAAAATACTCCTACCACATAAGATGCTCTTTATTTTGAGGGTTTTCCCATAATACCACTGTCTAAATTACTTGACTAATATCAGAGGTATAGCAATTGGGTCTTGATTTGAATAAAAAGTGCACCATTGTATCCAAGAAACACAGATGATATAGTTAGTGCAACAGCAACTTTCTTTGCAATTAAAGAAAGTCTTATGGGAAAAACTTGTTTAAGTTAACAAATATTTAGCTTGATAGCAAATAAGTTATCTGAATTATTAGCTCCCAATACAAAACATAACCATAAAGTTCATGTACTTTGAATCTTAATTCACATTTTTACAATCTTGTTTCCAAATGTTTTCACCTGCGTAGTTCTGTTTCAAATGGTACATACAAACTACTCGAATCAGAGACTGAATCACTATATGGATGATAAAGGTCCTCAATTTTTCCTGTATTTTGGGTTGAGAAAGTAGATGGTGATTCAGCATCAACGTTTAAAACAGCCAAATTTATAATAGCCTCAATCTCTCTCACCACATCTCCCATTTTAGGCCTATCAACTCCTAAATCTTGGACACATCTCAATGCCAGATTCACAAATTTGGTCAGACCTCCAACTGTTTTGGATGAACCAAGATATGGATCAAGAATCTTGTGGAGTTCATTTGGATTCTTGTCAATCGCCTCATTAACCTCCCTCACAATATATTTACCCTTGTGTATTGGTGGTCTTGCAGTTAAAAGCTCCAAAAGTACAACTCCAAAACTGTAAACATCACTCTTTTCGGTCAACTTTTGGGTCATGAAGTATTCGGGATCCATGTAACCCTGCATTCAGAAAGGATCAAAACGTAAATACTGTTAACATCAAGGGTAAAAGTAGACAATCAACATTAGGCATACACAAATCGACTTTAACACCTACCAGTGTCCCCTTCACTTGAGTAGATACATAATCCTTTGAATCTCCCAACAATTTGGACAAACCAAAATCAGCAACCTTAGCAATAAGATGATCATCAATCAGAATGTTATTTGATTTGATGTCCCTGTGTATGATTGGAGGATTTGCAAGCTCATGCAAATATGTCAGACCTTTGGCAGAATCAAGAGTTATTGTAAGCCTCTTCATCCAATTCAGCCTCATTCCTGACTTCCCTGAATGTACAATTTCAATAATCTTTCATTTTTTTTAATCTAATATTATCCCTTTGGATGAAAGGAAAAAGCCAAGAAAGATGTAAATCTACCTGAAAGGTTATCCTTTAGAGTACCATTTGAAATGTACTCATACACCAACATTTGTTCACCTTGCTCATAACAGAACCCCACAAGGGCTACCACATTCTTATGATGAATCCTTGAAAGAAGCTCAATTTCTGTTTTAAATTCTTGAGCACCCTGCAATGACCCTTGTTTAGCTCTTTTGATCGCGACTTCATGACCAGTGCTAAGAGTCCCTCTATAAACCTGCAAGTCAACATCTTACCCGTTTTAGGAATTTGTCACTTACCAAACAATAACACAATAGTTTACATATATCAATAATCACACATGCATATTGGTCAATAGAGTTGAATGTAACATGAATATGGAAAGCCTGATCATATATATACCAAAGAAGTAGTAGTGATTTTAAGTGAAAGAGATACAACATGAAGATACCTTCCCATAGCCCCCAGATCCAATTACGTTTTCTTCTGAAAAATTATCGGTGCATCTTTTGAGTTCTTCAAATGAACAAAGTCTTGCTCCTTTCAGTTCAGGAACACCACCAGCATCACTACCATTATCCATCACCCAAGATGCTGCATTATCAAAAACATATGTATGTAAGCATATGAAGACGTAAAAAGACGAGAATACCCTTGTCCTATGCTCCAATTCGTCTTACCAAAAGGATCGCTCTGTCTCACTCGTGTTGCCCGTCTTTTCTGATAGATAGCATAACTTATAGCCAGGCATACAATCACAAAACTGCCAACTGATACCCCAATGATAGCACCATGATTCGATGACTTGTCTCCTGTGGATAATCAAAATCAGAAATCGTGTTTCCCGTATTTATAGTTGCATACACCTTTCAAGATTTAGTGACAAAATAAAAAAGTCTCTTTTTCTTATATGATTGAAATGAATAATCACCTTCAAAATAATTAACATCAAGAAAGAAGAAGGGACCAAAGCGTGGGAGAACTATGAGGTTTGGTTGTTGGCGATTGATCACTGTTCCTATCGAAGAGACTTCTAAAAGATTAAAACGATCGTGACCAGAAGGAAAGATATGCAATGTATAGTGAAGGTATTCGCCAACAAATACATTGGAAATAAATATTGATTCTACTGGAAGTTGTTTGCTCCTAAAGGCTGACATCAAAGAATCATTGAGAAGTGTATAGTAGGTGGTGTTATCTAAGTTTGAGAAAGAATGGAGTAAAAAAGTTATGGTTCCTATGTACGGATGTGCGCATGTACAGTTGGGACTTAGCAATTTATCTGAACCGCATCCCACAGGATCACAGCCATTTGATCGTGAACGGCTTTGTATATTCGTCTTTCCAGTTGCACAATATGTTCCTGTTGCTCCTCCTTCACAAACTGGATTACTTGCAAGACTGGAAAGTAGTAGAAAAGTATTTCAATAAGAATTTAATAGATGGTAATTGGAAATATTCGAGGTTAATAATGAGCTCACTTTAAGGTCATATTGTATACGGATTTTTGATTGAAGTCAAGAATGGAATTGTTTGTCAGATCAACATTCAATTCACTGCTATAGGTGTTGCCCACATCTAGTATTCCGTTAAGACCGTTGTTGCTTAGCAACCTGTGAATATAAATAAGTTCATGTTCTATTGTTTGGAATGATAAATGATACAATTAAATATGCATATTAACTTGAGTAACAAGCATGCAGTAATACTCACAATTTCTCCAACTGAGGTTGGAAGAGAGTTGATGGGATTTCTCCTTGAAGTTGAGTTTTCTCCATCAATCTGTCAGTAGAAGATTAAACATGCTTAATAATAAAGTCCTCCATATTTTTTAGAGAAAGATCTCTCTCTCTCTCTCTCTCTCTCTCTCTCTCTCACACACACACACACAGATTGAGAAACTACTTAGGACTAATCTTTCTGGTGGAAGACATGAAATGAGTGAAAGAAAGATTACAATGTTGTCAAAGATGGAAGTTCTGAGAACCATGTAGGAATATCTGATGCATCAAAACTATTATTGCTCATGTCCCTGAGAATGGCATATGTCATGTTAGCAACTAGAAGATGATGATTCATGAAGTTTAAACTTTAAATTAACTTACACATAAAAGAGGGAGACCATTCCTGTGAGATTTGGAACAGGTCCACTCAGTTTGTTGTTCGACAAGTATCTAAAAATAAATAAATCTCAACCACCAAATAAAAGCTATTATTACACACAACAAAAACATCGATCGACTTCTCTTATCACTTACAGCTTACTAACACTTTTAAGATTCGTAATGTTTTGAGGCACTATCCCATCCAAGGAATTTGAGTCCAGGCGTCTGTGAAATAAAGGAGGGAAAAATTAGCAAATAAATTGAATATGTTCAGATCTACGTATAATTAATTAATGATGCTTACACTGCCTGAAGAGTACTCACAAGTCCTATCGAGGAAGGAATATTTCCAGTTAACCGATTATTGTTGAATATCCTGTTTGAAAAAGTGTATATATATATATATATATATATATATATATATATATATATATATATATATATATATATATATGTCAACCAATTAAACTTGAGATCTTTCGTTAGGTAATATGATACTTACACATGTAGTAGGGTCATATCTGAACTGAACAGTTCAGATCGAATGTCACCAGATAACTGATTATCTGCTAAATGGCTGCATAATTGGCATAAGATTAAGATAGCACGAGTGAGAAAAATCACTCTAAAAGTTTAATAAACTGACAAATGTACATAAGATACAAAACTTACAAGTGTTTTGCATTCTTTAACCTATCAAGACCAGGGGCTGGTCCATTAGACACAGGAATGGGTCCCTCAAGCTTGTTACCACTTACATCCAACCATGAAAGACTGCGTAAATTACCAATGGATGGTGGGATGATTCCAGTGAAGCTGTTATTATTCAGACCTCTGCAACACAAGGGATACAACATGAACAAGAATTTGGAATACTTACAAAAATATTTGGTTTTAATTAAATTAAAAATGGCATGGTAGTTAATCTATTGTCAAGCGTTACAACATGAACAAGAATTTGGAATGCTTACAAAAATATTAGTTTCTCGAGGGATCCTATTGTATCAGGAATTGGACCAAAAAAACTGCAACCAACCAGTATTCTACATGCAAGGTTTTGAACAATCAGACAAAAATAAGATGAATTAGGTTGATGCATTTGAGAAGTAAAATTCATTTCTTACAATGTGGTCAAGTTCTTCAAATTCTGAATTGATGGTGGAAGAGGAGCTTTAATTCCTTTGTTGTTGGAAAGATCTCTATAGGCAAAAATTAAATTGAGAAATGTCAAGTTCTAGATATAATTAATAAGGTTAACACTATATTTTTGGAAAAAGTTATATCAAGTGTCTTCAATTTCTTAACAAACCAATTTTATTGTATAAATTTTACACTTTTAACCCAAATTTTAAACTTGGTTACAATTTTACTCCAAACTTTCAAAACTTTTTTTTTACTATTCTCCCCAAAATTGGTTTTTCTTTACAACGTAACTTTTTTTAAGATTTTTTTACAAATTGTTTTTGAACTTTTAATAAAAAAAAAATACACCCTTTTGTACAACCTGTTTAAACCTCTTTTACAATTATTTTACATTCTTTTATACAACTTCTTCATAGCGGTTTTTAGAACATTTTAAAGCTTTTTAAAGACGTTTTTAAAATTGTGTTACAGCCAACACAAGAAATAAATCGAAACTCAGACTCAACCAACACAAGAAAATAAATGGTTTGTAAAATGATATTTATGTGTGGTATAGCAGGTAAAAAAAGGTTGTTTCAATCTTAATTATTCAATAAATCGGTTTACTATAAACTTAAAAACACTGAAAATAGTTTGTTTTTTCCGAAAAGAGTGTTGATCTTAATCAATAATACGAATATCTTAGAAACAATAAGAGGAAGATAAAACAATGAAAAGAAGTATATATAGGAATATATGAAATGGAAAAGGAAAACATATATACAAATATATCAACTGGGAAAGTGATGGAATGTCTCCAATGTCGTCACTTTTCACCCCCATGCCTGCCAACACTCTGTAATGGAAGAGTTCAAACATAAAAGGAAATAAATTAAGGTTTACATTTTTCCAAAATTCTGTAATAAGATTGAAACATCTACAACTTACAAATGGGTTACACGTGAGTTTGTGCAGTTAATTCCGTCCCATTTACTTCCACATGGATCTGAACCCCTCCAGTTAGGTGGTACGTTCTGCCAGCTAGACTTAATAGCATTTAGCGCACCAACTACAAAAATAATCGAAATTTTTAAGGTATATGTCAACAAAATAAAACACAAAATACGTTTAAGGTAACATCTAGAGTTATGATGTACAACATACATGAGGGTTTGTTTTAATTGGGAAAAGAAAGGTTATGTTATGAATAGAGAGGATCTTTTGTTATGATTGTTGGAGTTACCTCAAATATTATAACTCCATTCACCTATAAAGCAAATACTAAGCTATCTTCGAGAGTTCTGATTTAAAAATGTGACAACATTAAGGTAGGGCTATTATATAGAGTTTAATTTAGTTAATAATTCTGAAAAACATAAAACGGATCAATCTAGAAGTTATAGTGTAGAACAATTGATAGTGATCTCATTTCTGAAATGAGGGAGCATATCAACAGACCATGACTCAAAAGTGCAAGACAAACTTAACCATATATATAAAAGTCATAAAAACTCTACACACAGATTATCACAAAACTTACCATCATTTCCATCTGTCACAGCTGTGATTACCAAAATTTGACTGCAAACAATCAGCATCCATAACGAAATTCTTGAACCCATTTATCTAAATAAAAACTATATATCTTCTTCCAGGCTACAATAAGATATTTAGACAGTATAAATGGTCACATTTGGCACACCCACCAGGCCTCACCCTTTCTTCTTCTCATGTTATATAAACTTGTGTGATAACATAGAATAAAGAAACAAGAATTGGTCATAGACTCATAGCCACGTAGACCTGTCATGATGCAGCATGCCAGCATCTGATACGAATCCCAACTGTTCGATGAATTTTCCATCGGAAAGTGACAGTTGATAATGAAAATGATATACAATGCTTTTCAGTTGGGTAGACTTTGTTTTCGATGTTGATATCACTTGGAAAAAGAATTCTATTGGTGACACTTGAGTTTTTGTAATGGATTTGGTAAATAGTAGGTGATGAATGTCAACTGTTATTATATGTGAAATTTACTAGATTACCCTTCATGTTCAACTACTATATTTGATGGTTTCAATGCGGTAAATTACATAAATAGTCCTTTTATTACATTGGCAATTGATTTGCTTAGAGTTTGTAAGAATAGACAAAAAAGATGATGTCGACTCCTAAGTGTTTTTTTTTTTTTTTTTTAATAATAAAGTAATTTAGTATGGTATAAATACTTGGTCAAGTCTCAACGGGTTGGACATTCTATACCTACCTTATATAATTTTATGTGAGTTTTGTACAAAGATGGTAGTATTTTAAAAAAAGTATTTACCAATGTGTTGTAGTTCTAAATTTAATTATCAAAACATAGTAGTATAGTTTTTAACGAACTTGAAATAACTCTTAATCTTGGGATTTTCAAACATGTGTTCCAAGTGGACAAATAAAAAATATTAATTATATGGAATATTACCAAACCATGACTACGGATAAAAATATTAATAATGAGTTGTCAATTGAAATAAAAAAGAAAGGGTATTGATAAATGAAGGATGAGAGAAAGAACGAAAAAGAATATTGTTGTTTCAGAATTCCAATATATAAGGTCTATGAGCCATCTCAGAAAAAATTTGTGTAATTGTAACACCAATGTTCCATGTATGTTCAATTGTGACTTAATTCTTTAAAAAGTTTGCAAATATGGTCCCTACGTTGAGCATACGAGATAGGTATGTCAAGCGTGTAAGTAAGGATCATGAATCCCTTGCGTATGCTAGGCATATTGCTTCAGAGGGCAAACCCTATTTTTTGGGTTTGGACCTTATTTATAGGGGTTTTCCTCGGTTCAAATCTAATGGATTTTGATGGAACCGGTCCAATTCAATCATCCGTTGGATTTTGGATTTTATCAATTGATCTAATCCAATTTAATATAAAAAATGGATCCAATCCGATTCAATTGGATGTTGGATTGGATCGATTTTATCCGTTGGATATTATTGATTGGTTTAATCCATTTGTTATCCATCATCCACCTAATTTTAATTATTTTCTATTGAATAACCAAATATAACTATGATAACTAAAAATAAAATTGCACATAATTATGCTAAATAAGACTAGCAAAGTAACATTAACTTTAAGTTTTCAACTTAATTTTTTTTATTGAATATGTAATAATAGTAATCGGATTGGATAATAATATTGGATTAAATTGGATATCGAATTGGATTGGATCATTTCGGTTATCCATTGGATTTTCAGGATGATCCAATAATCGATCCAATCTAATTGGATTGTCAAATTTTGCATCCAATGCAATCCAATTATAATTGAATATCCAATCTAATTGGTCATTTTTTAATTGGATCAGTCGGTTCCAATTGGATCGGTTAATTTCTGTACACCCCTACATATTGAAGGATCATTATGGCCTTACACCCTTTCTTAACTCCAGCCTCCATCTCTTAGCCTCCATTTCGAAACCTTAATTGTGTGTATGTGTGTTTTTTTAATCCTTAAAAGGTTATTTTGGGTTTTCTTGGTGGTGAAGACTCTTGGAGCTATGGTGCTTCACTCAAGCCTTTGGATCTAGCAATTACTCTCCCTTATGCACCTTCTGGAGGTATAAAGCTCCAACCTTGATGCATATTTCTTTTGATCTAGCTTTATTGTAAGATTTGTTCATTAATGGTCCCATAGTTGTTAGGTTCGAATTTAGTTATGAGGTGTCGAAGTCATTTGTAGCTTGTTAAGATTCAAACTCTGCATGTTAGATTTGAATGTATGTATTTTATAAGGGTAGTTTAGTTATCGAAGCTTTCAAGTTTACGCCCTTACGTATTTTTTGTCCACTTCACTTGTTCTTATAAATAGGGATTAGTACTAGGGTAAGAGTAACGAGAATAGAACTTTTATGCACTTTACTCCCCTATTCTTGTACTCGTACTGAAGTGAGAATAAGGCCAAACAGATCTTATTTACATTATGTCTTCTCGATTAAATCTGTACTCTGTGCTTTGTTTGTCCAATCGATTATTTTATGATATTTTTCATAAAGATTCATCCATCGGATTCCAATTTTTGAAGCTTTTCATTATTCTAGTACATACAATAATGGCGAACTTCAATATAAACATGATGTCTGGATTTTCTCATCTTCTTGGATCTTCGACCAAAATTCCAATGCTAATCCCTGAATACTATGAACAATGGCCCGATAGGATGGAAGATTATCTTAATGGGATAGACGAAGATCTATAGCGATGTATCAATAGTGGAAACTTTCGTCCATCAATACTTGCAAAAGTTGGAAGTGCTGGTTCATCTGTTGATGTTGCTACTCAAGCTAAAAACCAGAAAGAAAATGACAAACGATGTTTGCATGAATGACGTGGTGCTCTTCCATCAGTAGTTTACAGCTATGTTCGTGGATGCAAAAAGGCTAAAGAATGTAACATCGTAAATTTCAAGACAAAATTTTCATTTAAAATAATCATTTTATTCTTAGAAACACTTGTTTAAAATCTCATTCATAGTCGATTTACAAAACATGACTCCATTTTCACTTGCATAGAAAACCAGGATCCTCCAAAATATGACTCTTTCTCTGGTGTGTACAATCAAGCCGGTGCCGTCCCGTGATACTGAAAGAAACCTGAAAAAAACATCACACAAAACACTGTAAGCACAAAGCTTAGTGAGTTCCCCAAAATACCACACATAACACATATTAGCCACTCGAGGCTATAACTCTATGGGTCCGTGCACCCAAACTCTGTGAACCCTCAGGCTCTAACTCTGGGAACCTTCCGGTTCCAACTCTATAAACATGCACAGCATAAATCACATAGAAATAATGCAGTACAACACATCACGTACATATAGCATACAAATACTCTGAACACATAACTCTGGTTACCTACTCAAGGTAAAGTATAGTGAGAAGACTCACCTGGCAAGCAGAAAGCAGATATCCCCACACTGGAATCTCAAACTCGCCACCGCCTAACACGTAAAGCAAATATTCTCATGAATATAACTCTCGAGACTAGAATAAATCCTCTCATAACACCCTCTCATGGGTAAAAGACTAGTTTACCTCTCTCTTGGCCCAAAGGCCACATCGCTGACCAAACCCTAAAAGTCAACGACCAACCCTTGGTCGAAATCAAAGTCCTCAGTCTAAGTCAACCCCTGACTGACCCTACTCGTCGAGTCAACTCTGTGACTCGTGAGTTCCCATAATCAGAACTTCATTCAATCTGCGACCTAACTCGCCGAGTCACCCCAAGACTCGCCGAGTCCAACAACTCTGAGTCCACTCGCACTCGACTCACCGAGTCATCCCTCAACTCACCGATTCTCGACTCTACCAGAGAATATTTGGGACTCTTCGACAAGACTCGCCGAGTCCAAATGGACTCGTCGAGTCCAAGGCTATCTTCAACCTACTCGCCGAGTTGTTCTTCCAACTCGTCGAGTTCCAAGCCATCTGCAAGCAACTCGTCGAGTCTACCCATGTAACTCGCCGAGTACCACCGTTCTGAATCCATTCAGAAGCACTCCAGGCCATGCAATTGATCCAAAACATAGATCTAGCCTCCTACAACCCATCCATCACGTAAAGTGGCAAACTTTACGTGAATCCAAAGAGATCTAAGCCGTTTGCACATTGGGCTAGGATTTGGGACAAGATGACTCCATCAACCACTCACAAACAGGGACTTTCATGCACTCTAGACCTTCTCCCTTCCAGATCTGAGGTAGCAACCTCAGATCTAACCTCTAAACTCCAATACATCCAAAGATATGATCTCCAACATCCCCAAAATGATGCATCTAAGAAATAGCAGCTCAAAAAAACGAGATATTACCTCAAAGGAATGCCCTAATTGAAATGAGACTCGAATTCAAACAAAGCCCCTTGCTCCAAGCCTTCAATCTCCCAAAATTCCTTCACAAATACATTCTCCAAGCTCCACTCCATCCAACAATGGTGCTTCTTCGTGATTTAGGGGTTTCTGGGGCTCAAGGGGTGATAAAGAGGCTGGGAGGGAAACATAATGATCTTTATATAAGGCTCAACCCCGAGAATTAGGGTTTTCTCCACTCAGCGCCTACTCGCCGAGTCCATTACCCTGACTCGCCGAGTCGGCCACTTAACACGCGACCAAGTCGCGACTCTACTCGCCGAGTCCGCACATGGACTCGCCGAGTCACTCTTTCCCAATTTACTCTTTTAGCCCTTCAACTCTACTCTTGATATTTCGGGATGTTACAATTCTCCCCCACTTAAATTAGGCTTCGCCCTCGAAGCCTACAGCAACTCAACTCCAGAAATACTCCCACAACGTGCCACCTGGCCTTAATCGGACCGGATCTCACAAGACATACCCATCGAAACTCGAACACACTTTCCCGTTCCTTACGGTGTCCTGACCACTGTCTCGAACCGGGCACCGGATGTACCCTCTGATAACCACACTCAACGATCCGAGAATTACCCATGAAGCATCACTGACCCAAATCTCAACAATCACTTGACCCATAAGGGTTAGAAGCCATGAACCATCGGATCCTCGATCCAAATCCTATCCTATCCAATCCGTGACGACAGAAAGGCCCACTCTTCAATCCCAGAGCAACTCTCATGAGTCCTCTTCTTGCAATCAAGCCCCAAGCCGCACCAACCTTTGCATTCTTGGGTTAGGAGAACCCGTCGCACTGATGACATCTCTAACATCCCCAG